ATTTGTCCCTATTTTTTTTATTAATGGCCTTCATAATTCTGGGATTCATGTTTAGGTCCTTAATCCATGTTGAGTTGGTTTTAGGTCCTTAATCCATGTTGAGTTGGTTTTTGTATAAGGTGTGAAGTGAAGGTCTTGTTTCAATCTTTTTCATATCATTTTCCAGTTCTGCCAGCACCATCTGTTGAAGAGACTATCACCTCCCCAAGAGATAGATTTAGGTGTTTTGTCAAAAATCAGTTGGCTGTATGTAGATGCGTTAATTTCTGGATTCTCAATTCTGTTCCATTGATCTATGGATCGTTATTTGTCCCAGTACCAAGCTGTTTTGACCACTGTAGCAGTGTAGTAAATTTTGAAGTTGGGAAGTGACAAGCCTCCAACCTCATTCTTCTTCTTAAGCAGTGCTTTGCTTATCCTGGGTCCCTTTCCTTTCCATATAAAGTTTGCAATTGTTTATTCCATCTCTTTGAAGAATGTCGTTGGACTCTGGTTGGGATTGCATTATATGTGTAAATTGCTTTGGGCAGTATTGACATTTTCACAATATTAAGTCTTCCTATCCAGGAGCATGGTACATTCTTCCATTTTTGTAAGTGTCTTTTGGTTTCTTGTAGTAGTGTTCTGTACTTAAGAAAAGATTTTCTTGATCAAAGAAACATTCTATGATGGTTACCAGGGGTAGGAGAGAAGAGAAAATTATTCAGTGGTTAGAGGGTAAACACATGTTAAACTTGGGTAATGGGGAAAGCAATATACAAGAGGGAAATTAGCAGAGGAAAGATGAAGTTAGCAGAAGACACACAGGATTGCAAGAGATGACATGAATAAAAGTGTATTATATTAACTGATGGTACATGAAGGGGATAGCAATCATAGTTATGAAACAAAGTTTATGATTTGCTGATGATGTGCTTTGTTAGCCTTCACTCAATGCACAACGAAAAGTTATGTTAAAAAAAAAGTTATTTTTTAAAAAAGATAACTCTAAAAACAGCAATGAAGTTGTGAGCTAAGTCCAGCCACATTCAATAGACTCCTGTCAACCTAAATCGAGACCTAGTTGGCCAGCAGTATGGCGAGACCTGGGGACTCCTAGGCCCAGGGACAGGGACATGGCCACAGAGGACCAGAGCGGAGAGGGAAGCATCCAGATGATATGAAGTGAGGGGAGATGCGCAAAAACACCCATACTTGCAGACAGTACCCATTTGACCTGACTAGAACTCGACTAGAGGAAGAAAGAAGAGGAAAAAAGAGTAATGCTTCTGCCTATAACTGATTGGAATACCTAAAATGGGGCTACAACATACCCAGTGAAGGAGACTTCCTGGGAAGCCTCTGCATTACATAAGACTATAGGTGGAATCCTGAACAGCATCCAGAATCTTGTGAGGTGGAAAATTTCCACTTGAAAGGACGGGCACACCAGCCTGGAGCGGCTAGAAGAACACAAGATACTTCTTGAAAGACAGACTGACAGGAAAAATACAAAACAATAACGGCATCTTGGTGACGCGGAGCTTCACTGACTAGGCAACCCAGGTAGGGAAGTCTCCGGGGAAAAGGGGCAGAATCGCACATACGCAACCTCTGTCTAGCAGACAGACAGCCTTTGAACAAACATAAGATCTTATATTTCAACAGTCTGAACTCGTTTTCTTAAAAGATCAAATGGCTGACAAAGTACAGGCATTTTAAGCTTTTGCCTGCCTGCACATGGCTCCCGCTTCTGCGATTGCGCCAGCACAGGCAAGTGCCTCTGCCCCATGCAGACACTGGAATGCAGGGCTAGAGCAACTTCACTTAGGAGGCTGCACTTCCAGAGAAAACAATAACAAAGCTAAACAAATAGAGAGGGATATCAGAGCGGATATCAGGAAAATTGGGGTACCCACAGTGCAGAGAGACTGAGAGAGGCATTCTTTACATCATCAAATACGGACACTGCCTCCCTCCAGCCATTACCCCAGCTGTCTACAGCCCTAGCCTAGACCAGCCCTCTGCCAAGCCACCGAGGCTCAGGAATGCCCAAGGCACAAGCCCGCCCACTGAGGCCAAGGCCCTCCCAAGGCCCAGACACTCCCACTGAGGCCAAGGCCTGCCCTGATGCCCAACCTGCCCAGAGACTGGTCACAAAGGCCCAGGCCAAACCAAGGCCTAAATCACATGCAGCCCAGTTCCAGGGCCTCCAAGGCCCAACCCCCCATGCAGCCAGGTCGCTGAGGCCCAGTACCCTTGAGACCCAACCCGCCCGCCCGAGGCCCAACCCACCCGCTCGAGGCCCAACCCTCCCGCAGCCCGGTTGCTGATGTCCAGGCCCCTAGAGGCTCAAACTGCCCGCCCGAGGCCAAACCCGCCTGCCCGAGGCCCAACCCTCATACAGCCCAGTCGCTGACGCCCAGGCCCCCAGACGTCCAAACTGCCCGCTCTAGGTTCAACCCGCCCGCCTACGGCCCAAACGGCCCGCCACGGAGGCCCAAGCCCAACTGAGGCTCAAAAAAGTTACTCTGAGTTAAGCAATAAGAAGCGTGAAAAGGGAAGACCACACCCTGATAACATATTCCTGGAGGTAATCAGAAAACATAAAAAATTTACAGCCTCGGAAACCCTGTACAGGGTCGCTATGGGTCGGAACTGACTCAAAGGCATGTAACAACCATAACTCTTGCTAACTTGCTAATTCCATTTCTCACTTGTTCTCTTTCTCAATGATGTAGAAGTCCCAGAACAGTTAGAAAAGGTTATTGAAAATATCTTTTTCTCTTTTCCTACGCCATAGAAGTATAAATGGAAGACTGAGACTTCTTAAAGCCATTTATTTTGCTTAAACACATCTCAAGGGTTACATGCATTGGATACTTTAGTTTTGAATAACATTCTTTATACAAATGGGGTACTAAAGTGTTCAAATTTTACCAGAGGTATTGTTATAAATCTTGCAATGATATTCAAATTAATTTTCCTATTCATTATTGACTTTAATGTAAAATTTAATGAGAAACTAGGACATTGTTGAGCATACTAGTATTTCATGTAATATATAGATAGGTAAGCAAAAAACATTTACTTGTCTGGTTAAGTATAAGGAGCCCTGATGGCACTACAGAATAAGCACTGGACTGCTAAGCACAAGGTCAGTAGTTCAAGCTCACCAGCTGCTCTGCAGTAAAAAGATGAGGCTTTCTGCTCCTGCAAAAATTTAGCTTTTGGAAACCTTATACAGGGCTCTGGTAGCATAGAGGTTACGAATCGGGCTGTGAACCGCAAGGTCAGCAGTTCGAAACTACCAGCAGTTCCGCGGGAGAAAGATGAGGCGTTCTGCTCCCGTAAAGATTTATAGCCTTGGAAACCCTGTGCAGGGTCGCTATGAGTTGGAACTGACTCCACGGCACTTAACAACATACAGGGCAACTGAGTTGAACAGACTTGGTAACACTTATCAAGTTTAGCCAATTTAAGTGGTTGTTGTGTGTTGAATTGGTTCCAACTCATAGTGACTTGGTATTGTGTTTCCCAGGAGTGACTGGTGAGTTCAAAACAACCTTGAATGAAGTCCACTGCTTATCCTAGGGTGCCATACCAGGACTCCTAAAGTTTTATTTTCTGCTTACTTCAACACTATCAACACAGTTTTGTTCTTGTTAGATGCCATAAAGTAAACTTACTGCAACTTATAGGACCCTATAGAACTGTCCCATATTTTCCTAGGTTTAAATTTTTACAAGAACAGAGGACCAGCTCTCCCAGTGAGCTCTTCTGGCTGCGAACTCAGAATAATGCACAAAACCAAACACTGTTATACATGACAGTAAAGCAACTGGAACTGTTAAGACAATTGAGGAAAACACATACTTGACAGGTTGGTTTTTTTTGACAGATTTTTTAAAGGAACATTTTAAACTTCTGAAACATGAAGATCTAAACCTCTAAATAACTGTGTTAAGGAGGTAGTCTTTAAATATACTAAGGGTTCATTTTATATGACTAGTCTTCCCTTGGGTCTGGTATAGTGCTGCAGGTTAATGCACTGAACAACAAGGTCAAGTTGGCCTGCAACTGCAAGGTTGGTGGTCCAAACCCACAAAGTGCTCCTCGAAAATCTTATACAGGGTCACTGAGTCAGAACCCATTCAACAGCATTTAACAGTGTGGCACTGTAGGACAAACACTGGACTGCTAACTGAAGGGTCAGCAGTTCAAACCCACGAGTCACTTCTTGGAAACCCTATACAGGGTTGCTATGAGTCAGAACTGACTCGGCGGCACTTAACATAGCATTTCCAGTACCCCGATGGCACAGTGGGTTAAGCGTTGGACTACTAACCACAAGGCTGATTGATGGTTCAAGCCCACAAGCCGCTCTATCAGGAATAAGATGAAATTGTCTGCTCCCGTAACTGATCCTGTAAAGATTTAGTCCCAGAAACCCTAAGGAGAGGTTCTACTCTGTCCTACAGGGTCACTATGAGTCAACTCCATAGCAGTAGGTTTTTTACAGAATATAACAAAGTTAATTAAGTGGTGATCAAGTCTGGTTTCATTTACATAGGAAGCAAAGAAAACCTACAACAAAAGTTTCAAATGTACTTTATTTATTCAATAATGTCATGTTTTAATGGGTACATGGTGCTTTTTTTACTTGGCATTGATTACAAGTTCATTGTGAAACAATTCAGTATTTGTCATCAGCTGCTTTGATTACTTGTCTCTCCATTCCTTTGGGGTGACTCTGCCAACAGGGGACAGGTTCCATTCTATTCCAATTTGTGTTGCTGTCTGTAAGAATTAAAATTCTGTCAGTTATACATGTTTAAACCAGAATTCACTCTCTTTTAAGAGTCTATTTCTTAAATGACAAAGGTACTCTTCTCTATAAGTTAAAAACACACAGAATCTCAACTGGAATATAATGTCTTCCATGTAGTTCAAACCTAAATACGGTCCTAATCAATCTAAAAGAGAAGTGTTGCTCAATGAGAGGGCTTCTAAAAGTTCATGAAATAACGGAATCCAAGGATAATGGATCAAAATAAGAATAGGAAAGGTCTACTGAAGTTTATTTATTAAATTAAACTTATACACATTAAAAGGAGTCCTGGTAGCATAGTTATGAGCTATGCCGGTAACTATAAGGTCAGTACTTCGAATCTATCATTTACTCTGCAGGAGAAAGCATATATATTAACAAAAACTTTTATGTTTACTATAAGTTCAGAACCTCTACTTTTAATCAGCAAGCAAAGTAACTGTCAAGTAGATTGTTAAATCTAAGATGTGAAAACTAAAATAGTGAAAGCAAGTTACTTTGCTTCTCATCTATCAAGAATACTGTGCTCAATTCTGAATTTTAGAAGAAAAATGATAAGTGAAATGTATCCAGTTGAGTGACCAAATATGATGAAAATCCTGGAAGTCACATTATTATAAATGACTGAAAAGCTTAATCAGAAAGGGTGGCCTCAGGAAACACGACAGCCATTTTCAAATATGAAACTGCTGTTATATGGAAGTGGGATCTGAATTTCTATGTTGCAATAGAAAGATGAGTTAAACATAAAGAGGCAGATTTTAATATAACATAAGATGCTTTGATAGCTATACAATTTGAAAAGAGCTGCTTTGAGATCCAATGAGCAATTTGTAATTGGAAATGTTAATAAATGAATGCTGAATGTTGAAAAAAAATTGTATATTAGGTAGGTAGGTGACTTGACTCAAGAATCCCTAACTACAAATGTATGTTAATGTGTTAAAATATTTTGAATACCTAGTCCAAATGAGAAGAAAATATATCTAAAATAGAAATTACCTATAAATAGTACTTACATATGTCCAAACAGCAACACAGAAAGTAGCTCCACTAGCTAATACAGCATTACCATATTTGTCATGGAAATCAGGTGCGCGTTTCTGATGGTTCTGCCTTGCCATTGTTTGCTGAATGCTTCGAACTTAAGATAAAAGGATACAGAAGTATATCGTTAATTATCAAGAAAATACAACATATATGAATGATACTACCAATCAAGAAAGCCAAGTTAACTTTACAATACTTTGAAATGCATCAAAAATAAGATGCAAATGATAAAACAAATGTAAAACGTATGTGGTGGATATGTGAATGGTCATCATACAATTCTTCAGGCTTTTCTATATATTTGAAGGCTTTCATAATAAAATGTTGGGGAGGAAAACAAAGCAGTGGTGATGTAGCATTCACTTCAAAGTAGTACAAAGGGCCTTCAAAATATTCATGTAAAAATCCCATAATCTTTTAATTGTATTTTTCCACAAAGCCCCTTCATATTTATATACCCTTTGGAACTTTGTTCACTGGAAAACCAATTAACTTTGGTAAATGGATGAGGTATATAAACATGTAAAGAGGATTAAATCAGAAAGGATCATCAAGGGTCCTGAATATTAGGCTAGGTAAGGGAAGCTGATAATGCTTTTTGAACAGAATGACAAGATTACAACTTTACTTTTACTACCATTTCTAGGGGAAAGTATATAATACAGATTGTTTTCAAACTATCTCTTGCCGGTTGTTGGAGTAATGGAGAAAGGACCAAAACTGGGAAATACATTATTTCCAGCTGGGTTTTTTTCTTTTCTGCTTTCTCTCCAATCCACGCAGACCCCTATTGTTTTAAATAGGGCCCTAAAAGGTACTTTTACATTAAGTATGTAATGAAAAGTAGGTTAGAGAAACTGAAATGTTGTCTACTCCCTATGTACTAGTATTTAAGAACACAACGGCTTCTATGTGACGAAGGTTTCCTCTCATAATTGCTTGACACAATTTTTTGTTTTCAACTTTAGTTATACATAGGAGGAGCAAATTTAGAACATTTCATAATTATTTTCTGCTCTAGAATATTTTAAAGTATGCAGTGAAATCCATATACTTAAAAAAAAATTCCTTTTCTGAGGAGTCTGGTGACACAGTAGTTTAAAAAGTACTGGAACGCTAACCAAAAGGTTGGGAACTAGAATGCACCACCTATGCTGCGTGAGTCTCCTTCCCTAGATTTCAGCTTTGGAAACCTATGGGCTCACTTCCTATAAGTCTCATATTGAACTTGAGTTGGAAGAGGCCAAGTCTGGTCTCAAAATGGAGGTAAAACTGCTGCCCAGTGGCCCCCAGCCCGACTCTGGCCACTGGAGGTCATGATCCAAAAGAATCAGAGCAGTTGCAAAAACTGTTTATTCGTGTTCTGAGCTTTGAAACTACAGATGAGAGTCTTAGAGAATATTTTGAGAAATGGGGCACACTCACAGACTGTGTGGTGGTGAGAGATCCCCAGACAAAACGTTCCAGGGGCGGCTTTGGTTTTGTGACTTACTCTTGTGTCAAAGAGGTGGATGCAGCAATGTGCTCCCAACCACATAAGGTTGATGGGCGTGTAGTGGGACTAGAGAGAGCTGTATCTAGAGAGGATTTGCTTTTGTAACTTTTGATGATCATGATACAGTTGATAAAATTATTCAGAAATGCTACATTTATGGGCATAATTGAGAAGTGAAAAAGGTCCTTTCTAAGCAAGACATGCAGTCTGCTAGATCAGAGAGGAGGTCATGGAGAAACTGTGGAGATGGTGAAGGGAACTTTGGCTGTGGTACAAACTTTGGAGGAAGAGGAGGTGGTGGAGACGGTAGCAGCAGAGGTAGTTATGGAGGAATTGATGGCAGATATAATGGGTTTGGAGGTGATGGTGGCAACTATGGAGGTGGTAGTGATTATAGTAATAGAGGGAGCTATCGTGGTGGTAGACCAGGATATAGAAACCAAGGTGGTGGTTACAATGAAGAAGGAAATTTTTATAGTGATTAACTAACTATGGCTCTGGTACTGTAGTGGTTATGAATCAGGCTGTGAACCTTAAGGTTAGCAGTTCGAAACTACCAGCTGTTCCACAGGAGAAAGATGAGGCCTTCTGCTCCCGTAAAAATTGACAGCCTTGGAAACCCTGTACGGGGTCACTATGAGTCGGAACCGACTCTACAGCACATAACCACCACCACCCAACTATGGCGGTGGTAGGAACTATGGTTTTGGACATTATAGTGGACATCAACAATCAAATCATGGGCCCATCAAAGGGGGCAGCGTTAGTGGAAGAAGCGCAGTCAGTCCTTATGGTGATGGTTATGGAACTGGTGGTGAAGTGGTGGATATGGTAGCAGGTTTTAAAAATTCAGCAAAAAGGGGCTACAGGAAAGAGAGCAAGGAGTTGTCAGGAAAGCTGTAGTTACTTTAAGACAAATGCATTAGCTATAAAATCTGCCACAGAAGGAACGATGATCCAGAGTCAGAAAAGTTACTGCAGCTTAAACAGGAAATCCTTCTTGAAGGTTCAGGATTGTCAGAGCCACAGTTTGCAGAGTGCAACTACTGATTAATGCAATGTAGTGTCAATTACATGTACATTACTGAGGTCTTTTATCTGTTATACTTTGTCTTTTTACTTGCGTTGTTATGAAGTACCAGCAAATTGATTCCAACACATAGCAACACTGTATAGGGTTTCTAAGGAGCAGCTGGTAGGTTTAAACTGCTGACCATTTGTTTCATAGTCCAGTGATGATGCCCTATAAATTGTGGTAGTGGTACCAAGAATAAAAAATTAAGTAATTTTTAACTTTTCAATATTTGTGTACCTCAGTTTTTCTACATTCTAGTACAGAAACTTTAACAAGAAGATCATTGTTAATCACTATTTTGTATGAATTTTGCGAAAGCTAACTGCAAAGAAACACCTGCTGACTTGCAATTTAAGGGTGGTTTAATGATCTGGACTATCCGGTTGTCAACAACATTCTCCCCATTTCCAAACCACACTATGAACTGATACATGGTGAGAATACCTATTTGTATGTTTGCAATGTGTGTTTTTTAGAGTCCTGGTGTGGCGCTGTGGGTTAATGTGCTGGACTGCAGAACTGTTTGAACCACAAGGTCAGCAGTTCAAGTTCAAGCCAGCTGCTCTTCAGAAACTCTATACAGGGTCACTATGGGTGGGAACCGACTCGATGGCACTTGACAACAACAACAACATGTGTTTTAGAGAACTAGGATTGGGTATTTCAGTTACTGTATTGTAAATTTAAGAGCATTAAGATTTACCTTCAGTGATAAAAATCTCAAAAGGCCTTATTTCAATTTTGGGGACTTTCTTTTTTTAAAAAGCAGTCAGATTTAACTTAGTGTATTGTTGTTGTTAAGTGCCATCGAGTCAGGTCCGACCCATAGCAACCCTGTAACAGGGTTTCCGAAGGTGTAAATCTTTACAGGAGTAGAAAGCCTCATCTTTCTCCCATGGTGCGGCTGGTAGTTTCGAACTGCTGACCTTAAGGTTCGCAGCCCGATTCGTAACCACTACGCTACCAGAGCTCCTTTAGGTTTGCTAAAAGTCCTAGCTGTGTTTAGAAAATAATACATTTACTTTGGTCATATTTGAACTGCTGCCATAATTTTATTTGGATGTAAAGAATTTCTGCTGCCTTCTGCTTAAATTCTGAAATGGGGTAGTGGATTTTTTTTTTTTAAAGCCCTTTCTTCCTATTTTAAAAATCACTCTTAAAAAACTTCAAAATACAGATCAACAAGCTTGTTGTGGGAGTCCTGGTATGGCCCTGTGGGCTAATGCATCAGACTGCAAGGTCAGTTTGAATCACAAAGTTGTTGATTCAAGCTCACCAGTCACTCCTTGGAAACCCTAAACAGGATCACTATGAGTTGAAATCCACTAGATGGTACTTAACAAAAACAAGCCCACTGTACCCAAGCAAATCAATGACTACCTTTTAAAAGAAAATTTCTTTTTGAAGCACAAGAGTTTTATAAATCTTAAGTTTTTTTCCTTGGTTTAAATTCTTAAAAATTGATGTAAGCTCCCAGAACAAGAGAATCAAAATCAGGCACTGTTGAATCCTTCAAAAGAAAAAATCCTATGGGCCAGCTCTAAAGGAGCTTTGGTTGCGTAGTGGTTATGAATCGGGCTGCGAACTTCAAGGTCAGCAGTTCGAAACTACCAGCCGCTCCATGGGAGAAAGATGAGGCTTTCTACTCCCGTAAAGATTTACAGCCTCGGAAACCCTGTACAGGGTCACTTTGAGTCTGTACAGGGTCACTTTGAGTCGGAATCGACTCTACAGCACATAAGAACAACAAATGCGCCAGCTCTACTCAACAGTAGTTCGTTCTGTGTCAGAATCCACCAATGGAAACAGGTTAGTTTCTTTTATTTTTTCAACAAAGAAGTGAGATTCTTAGAAGTTTGCCTGAATTGAAAGAAATCATGAAAATGCAATTTTGAAATATAAAAAACCAATCAGGTGAATTTTTTGACTATTTTCAAAGGAGTTTAAGTATTAAAAACTCAAATACCCTTAAATGACTCAGTAAAGGGGGTGGGGAGTGGCTAAAGAGGTAATTGCTCAAGGTCACCTTGACTTATAAAAAAGCTTACAAAAATAATCGCTCAAGGTCACTTTCAGTGCCAATCAAATACAGAAAGAAATGAGGGTCGTTTTGTGCCCCCTCTCCTACAATCTAGTGTATAAGGTTAGTCTCAAACTATCCCTGTACCTTCCTAATTTGTCGATGGGGGGGGGGGGAATGGTGATGATTGATTTATGGGCTCCTTGGAAACCCTATACAGGGTCGCTATGGGTAGGAATCGACTCGATGGCACTTCACAACAACAACAATAATAAGCCCTCGAAAGCTCTGGTAGCGTAGTGGTTACGAATCGGGCTGCTAACCTCAAGGTTAGCAGTTCGAAACTACCAGCCATCCAGCGGAGAAAGATGAGGCTTTCAGCTCCCGTAAAGCTTTACAGCCTCGGAAACCTTATATAGGGTCGTTATGAGTCGGAATCGACTCCACGGCACACTACCACCACCACCAGCCCTCGACTTCAAGGTCGGTTTGAACCAAAAGGTCGGCGGCTCAAACTCACCAGCCCCTCCTCGGAACCGACTCAACGGCACTTAACAACAACAATAACGTTTAGTTAATTAACCACAAGTAACAGAAGCTGCAGGACTGCCATTCTGTACAACGTGAAGAGCTAATTTTCTTGCATAGTGGCTACAAGAATTGGGGAGGAATTTCTATGTGGGATAAGAGGAAATGAACCACCAGAGCTGAAATTCACAGGAAATCACTTTGGAAACTAGAGGTATTCACCAAGAACGTCTTTCTCTGAAATTGTAGGCACGCTTAGGCTATAACTGTCTCCGGTAACAGACAGTTGGTAACCAAAGTAAAAACGCGGTTATAAGGCCAATGCTGATGTGTCGCTGTAAGTTAAGCACTGTAAGGTCAGTTGTTCAAACCCACCAGCCGCTTCTCGGAAACACTGTAGAATCCTATGAGTCGGAACCAACTCAACGGCACTTAACAAGGTCAATTCTAAGGGCACCGTCCCAATTACTTGCGGAGTGCGGGAAGCAGGAGAGGAGGCACAGCATTTGAGAATTAGAAAGCAAAGATGTTGGTGGAGGGAAAGGGCACGAGAGATCAGGAGGAGGTATGGATATAAAGCTGCTGAAAATGATTTCCTCACAATTTTTGCTCACCTTGAAGACGACTTAGTGCGTTTTTGGCCAAGGGAAACATCGCGAAGAAGTAAACAGAACTGCGGCAACTACAGTGGGTGGATAGAGACAATTCACGTCCGGTACCCTTGCAAGGAACCCTGAAAAACAAAATGGCTTTCCTTGGGACACTTCAATGAGAATCTGTGGAGTCTCGCGATATTTAAAGGAAAAAAAAAAGTACGGAATTGTAATTTTCTTTACCGCGAGTCAAGATAAAGGGCTTACTGGGAAATGTAGTTTCAGACTATAAATAACGCTTCTTGGTAGCCTCACAGTCAGCAGTTCGAAACTACCAGCAGTTCCGCGGGAGAAAGATGAGGCTTTCTGCTCCCGTAAAGATTTACAGCCTCAGAAACCCTGTACAGGGTCGCTATGGGTCGGAACCGACTCGATGGCACTAACAACAATTGTTGTTCTGGTGTGGTTCTGTAGGATAAGCAGTTGACCACTAGGTCGGCTAGAACTGCAAGGCTAGGGATTCAAACTACCAGTCGCTTCTTGGAAACCCTATACAGAGTCGCTCGGAGTCAGAACCACGACACTTAACAACAACAACAACATTTTGTTAAGTGCCTTCCAGTCAGTTCCGACTCAGGGCGAACCTGCATTATCCAACAGCACCACACCAGGAGTCCAAATAACGCATGTTGTTTTTGTTGTTGCTGTGCCATTGAGTCCGTTCTGACTCATAACTCTAAGTAGTGCTTAATAAATAAATAGAGAACCCCTTGAAGTCATTTTTTCGAATCTAGAGGTAGCGTGGACTCCTGATGTGGCGCTGTGGGTTAATGGGCTTGTCTGCAAGGTTGGCGGTAAAAGCTCGCCAGCTGCTCCACGGAAACCGATACTGGGTCACTTTGGGTCGAAACCGACTAGATGGCACTTAACAACAAGAGGTAGCGTGGTGTGGCGCTGTAGGATAAGAGCTGGACCTTAGCACTGGATCGAAAGGTCGGTTTGAACCGCAAGATGGGTGCTTCAAATTCACCAGCCACTCCTAGGAAACCCTATATAAGGTCGCTATGAGTTGGAACTGACTCCACAGCACTTAACAAAAAGAGATAGCTTGGGAATCCTGGTGTGGAGCTGTTGGTGGGTTTGAACGACTAAACTTGCAGATAGCAGTCCAGTATTTATCCCACAGCACCACACCAGTACTCCCAAATATTTTGTTGTGTTCTATAGGATTTTTACTGACTGATTTTTTTCAGAAGTAGATTACCAGATCTTTCTTCCTAGTCTGTCTCAATCTAGAAGCTCTGCCGAAACCTGTTCAGCATCACAGCAACACACAAGCTTCCATGGACAGGTGGGTGGTGGCTGGGCATAAGGTGGTGGCTGTGCATGAGATTGGCTGGAAATCAAACCAAGGTCTCCTGGGTGGAAGGCAAGGATTCTACTACTGAGCCACCACCAGTTTATACATGCATGGATTTGGTCAAAACAAGATGTGTTTAAACATGTCTCTGTGGTCAGTGGATGGTTACAGACAAGTTCTCTCTGTAATACAACACTCATCTTAGTCTTGTTACTCTGCTTTCAAAAAAAAGGATAGTTTTTGTGCCATGAGAAAAAAAAAAACTATTTTGAGGTCAGGGCTAATGTCAAAATTTTAAACTCAAGTGGACATCTTCCCAAATCATTGAAGCATTACAACAAATTTAGGATGCTGCCCCACATAAAAGAACAGTTTTTAGATAGATTAAGTGTTTTTGTTTTCACACTTTTATTGTGAATTTAGTGAAGGTTTACAGAACAGAACATCAGCCCTGCATTCATCTAATCATACACTTTGCCCAACTACAATGACTGCAATTTCCTCCAAGAATCAACCATCAACAGTATTTACCTTCATTCCCTTCAACTATTGCAACTTTATTACAGATGAGAAAGAGTATTCAGGTTATATTAGCTAAATTGGGACTCAAAGTCAATTTAAAGCTATTGTCTTTTCAAGTACACAGATCTTTTTTTTTCTTCTTTCTTTCAATTTTTTATTGTGAATTGAGGGGAGGTTTACAGAGCAGATAATCAGTTTTGCATTCAACAAATCTAATACATTGCTCACTACATAGTTTCAGTCTCCTCTATGACCAACACTTAACAGTATTTACCTCGTTTCACTTTAACTATTACTTTTCTCTCTCCATCTCCCACTACCTTCATCTTAGTTCTGCTAACCTCCCTCTAGTTGTACACTGTTTGCCCTGGAACCCATATTAACTTGTGTCTACACTCTGGTAGTGTAATGATTAGTAATTGGTCTGCAAACCTTAAGGTCAGCAGTTCGAAACTGCCAGCTGTTCCGAAGAAGAAAGATGAGTGGTTACCAATTGGGCTACAAACCTTAAGGTCAGCAGTTCGAAACTACCAGCTGTTCTGAGGAAGAAAGATGAGTGATTACTAATTGGGCTGCAAACCTTAAGGTCAGCAGTTCGAAACTACCAGCTGTTCCGAGGAAGAAAGATGAGTGATTACTAATTGGGCTGCAAACCTTAAGGTCAGCAGTTCGAAACTACCAGCTGTTCTGAGGAAGAAAGATGAGTGATTACTAATTGGGCTGCAAACCTTAAGGTCAGCAGTTCGAAACTACCAGCTGTTCTGAGGAAGAAAGATGAGTGATTACTAATTGGGCTGCAAACCTTAAGGTCAGCAGTTCGAAACTACCAGCTGTTCTGAGGAAGAAAGATGAGTGATTACTAATTGGGCTGCAAACCTTAAGGTCAGCAGTTCGAAACTACCAGCTGTTCTGAGGAAGAAAGATGAGTGGTTACCAATTGGGCTACAAACCTTAAGGTCAGCAGTTCGAAACTACCAGCTGTTCTGAGGAAGAAAGATGAGTGATTACTAATTGGGCTGCAAACCTTAAGGTCAGCAGTTCGAAACTACCAGCTGTTCCGAGGGAGAACGATGAGGCGTGCTGCTCCCGTAAATATTTACAGCCTTGGAAACCCTGTACAGGGTCGCTATGAGCACAGCACACAGCCACCACCCTCTAGCCTATGAATAATTTTCCCTCCCTGCTGGTAACCATCATAGATTGTTTCTTTGATCAAGAAAATATTTTTTTAAATGTTTTTACAACATTGTTGTTGTTGTTGTTAAGTGCCGTCGAGTCGATTACGACCCATAGAGACCCCATATAAGATTTCTGAGGCTATAAATATTTACGGGAGCAGAAAGCCTCATCTTTCTTCCGCGGAACAGCTGGTAGTTTCAAACTACTGACCTTGCGGTTCACAGCCCAATTCGTAACCACTACGCTACCAGAGCTCCTTTACAACGTTGCTCTTATACAATATTTGTACTTTTGTGATTAACTAAAAGGAGCTCTGTGGCCGTGGAACGAGAGATATCATTGTGGATGTCCGATGGATCTTGGCTGAAAGCAGAGAATACCAGAAGGATGTTTACCTATGCTTTATTGACTA